TCAAGCAAGCATCACTCTGCCACTGAGAGCCAACATTTACCAGTAGCATCTCTGAAAAGTTGAAGATGCAGGCAATAAATAATGGCACACAGTTGTGACTGTAACGCAAGCCGTGCTGAAGAGCTGGCCAGGCTGGAGGCCCTGGCTTGCCAGCTGCCTGAGCAAATGCTAAGATCTGCCTTATCGCCTAAAGGCATCGGATAAGGCTGAACATGAGCACAGTTTACCTCTTACTTCCTAAACATCGCTGATTTCCACAAAGATGAAATTAAACTTCCTTCTGTATGGATGAAAAGACTCCCTCAAGCTGAAGTGGTTCACTAATTAAAATAGCTCTTTGTCCAAGGTTAGCAAGTTAAAAAATAGCAAGTGCTATGTTGTCACAAATCTACTAGGTGTTGTGAAGGGAGACATGAGATGTACAGCCAACACGCCTTCAAATCTCTTGCTGAGTCTCCATTAATCCCCTGCATTCCAGATATCAGAGCAGTCACGCTGGCCTGGGGATCCGCTTCCAGTTGGTCAATAGCAACAGGAAAATCTTTAAACCTCCTTTTGATCCAGACATAAGTCGTGCAGGATCTGCATCTCGCAGACCAGCCCTCGGTTCTCCCAAGACTACCTGCTGCAAACTGGAGATACCGTACGCAGAGCCAGCGGGACTGCGTGATGCAGGAAGTATTCTAATGTCTGGAAGCACCGCTGCCTCCCAGCTCCCATCACTTATTAATGAGTTGTTATTCATTGCTGAAACGCTGCCAATTTGTATCATACAGGCAGTCAGGCAAGATGATCATATTGGTCTGCAGCAGCTTTAGCCTGTGAGTGAGGCACGGAGCGTAAGCCACACTGATTTCCATAGGGTGAAGAATCTGGGAGAGTTGCTTCTACTCTTCAGGCATAATCACATGCACTGACAAAAGAAATGTGACTTTGCCTAACTCTCTCCTCAGACATTATGTGACTGCAAGGCCCACCACATCCCGTCTCCAGGCTGGTAGCTTTTGCAGCACACATTAAATCTCTCACAAGGAAAGTCAAAGGAAAGAATGGGAAATAGCTTTGTATACCGCATTTCCTCCTCCTCTCCTGCCAAATGGGAGAGGCAGGGTTCACAGAATTCCCTTCTTGTGTTAGGCTGTACTTCTTCTCTGGAGGGAGATTTACCACTTGTTCCAGAAACATTTAGGTTAGGAGGAGGTCTGAGACGTGGGAGGTGAGGAATATTCAGCCTCTACCCAGTTGTATGCCCCAGGTATTCCCTGATCACCATATACACACAGCTTTTTTACATGGCAGTGCAGATGTGCTTGTGTGTGCGCCATTTTCCTGAACGGGTTCTGATAATCTCTCCCAAGCCATTGCACTTCTGAGCGTCTCAGAGCTGAGAACGGGTGAACATATTTTAAGAAAAAACCCACATTTTTTAACAGAAAAGCACCATTTTAACAAAAACCAACCACACACTTATTACATGAAGGTATTTCTTACAATAATCTAGACTCCTCTTTTTGCTGCTACTTTGAAAGCCTGCTATGATTACAATGGGATATTATGCAAGACTGGTAGAGTTTATGTTTCATAAACATATGTAAAAATATATTATGCTCTATCACAGTCCAGAATTGCATCCCAGATATGTTCTTGCAATGTCCAAAGTAAAAAAATGTAATGATACCCAAAGGTCATAAGGAAATCCAAGAGGCCTGTGGGCATGCGGGAATTTATGTGCATATAGCAACTCACATTAACACACTGATGGGAGTTAAAGCACATCAATCTTTTGTACATCCAGATGAGAACACCACGAACCAATTTTTCCTGACTTACATCCAATATTGATGGAGGTGACATAAGGCTGTAGAAGGTGCAGATCAGGGAAGAATCCCAACCTCTGGCTACTACTTGATTTAATTTTTTAAATCTGCTGTGCCACCACCATCAAAAATAGCCTGATCTCATGCCACCACTGTCCAGAGGAAGGGGATGGAAAATGAGGATCTGTTTTATCATTTGGTAACGCTGCCACAAAGCAGGGGACTCTGAACAACCAGACCTTAAAATGAACTGAATAAAATGGACTGTTCATCCTTCCTCTGAGGCCCCATGCAAAGTATATGTGAAACAACAGCAGACACAGGTTACAACTGGTATTTAGGAGGTAGAAATAGGAACATTTGAAGGAATAAACGTATTTTCTTCCTCTTTCACCTGTTTCATAGTTCTGATAAATTTAAAGCCTGAGTATGACCCAGTGCCACATAGGCCCATGTTCTTTGTAATATATTGTTGAAAAGCAGAGTAAATTAATAAACCGCAGAGCTCACTACTGTTACTGCTGTAGCTAAACTGCTTTTGATACATGAGCTAGCCTCATACATTGTAATAGATATGATTTACCCTGTAAACGTTTCCAGTGAAATATATGAGAGTTCAGATATGTTTTCCTTTCCAGCCAGAGGAGCCTCTCTGTTCTTCAGAGCCTGTCTCCTAGGTGGTGTTTAAAAAGAAAAGATGCTGCACTGCCACTTGTGACTGGCCTTTAACAAGTTTACACCCCTGCATAGGCTGAACACGACCCTTTGCAAAGCTCTTTTCAGCTCTTCCAGAGACAAAAACTGAACAGCTTTGACAAAGTGACTCCATTAAAAGAGCTTATTTGATCAGTCTGGTTTCACGCTTAAAATGCTTTTGGTCTCACCACCCCAACCATCTGCTCTCCCGTGACAGCAGTTCTGCCACCCTGCTGGGGTTTGCCTTCGCTGCTGGTCAACAGGAGCTCCTCCACAGAGAGAAGAGCCAGCCTCTTCGGGAAGGTCTGCCAGGGACCCACAGGTCAGCCAGATGCAGGACCACTAATTTGCCTTAAATCCTGGGGCTATGCAGACTCCCAGCTCTTATACACAGCTGCTGCATGAAACTAGCAAGTCCCGTCCCTACCCAATGCCTCAAATTGCCTTGCTGCTGCAAATTATGGTTAGAGAAACTTGTTTTCCCTGTAGAGCACACATACAAAGTAAGGTGCAGGAATAAAATACCACTGTTTCCAAATGGGAAGGACCTAAGTCTGATAAGATACCACCAGTATCTCTGACTTCACATTACATTTCACTGCTTAAAGCCTCTGTTCTTGCTTTGGAGACAGCTTTGGACAGCTGCAGAAAACACATGCATTTACAACAGCAGAGATAAGCAAAGCACATATGAAATACATGCAAGTGAAGGAAATCCAAAATCAAATTACATTCATCAGGAGCAAGCTGAGAAATCAGCCGCAGACAAGCTCTCAAAATGTCCTGACATAACTGGAAAAATCTCTTGGTTGATCCTGGCATCTTTTTATATATTGGGGCTTATACACATCATAAAAGCCCTGGGCATCTGAGGTACTACTGTATTTCCACAGTCATAAATAAACCCAACCTTGCTTTGTATATGATCCGACTTCCTGTTCTGGGTTACACAGGGAGGATGCATAGCGCTAGATCAAGTTGCCTGGGGACTACGTATGACCAAAAGCCTTATAAATCTATAGGCAACTACAAACTCTCTGCTACCAGTGGAAAGTGAACAGAGTTTTAAGCAGACTCTAGCTCAGCCATAATGGCCATGTAACATATAATATTTTTGTGCATTTAGCCCCCTGCCCTAGATCGTATTCCTGCCTACTTTTAAGTCAACCTTTGTTGGATTTTGCATGTCCATTGCCATTTTGAAATTCAAATCCTTTGAATAAAGTCAGAAAAAACCCCATGACTTCAGTGTCAGCTGGCCTTCAAATGTTTAGCCCTTGTAGTTTTAACTTTTCAAATGACCAGCTCTGTCAGAGTTTTCCTTCACTTCCCCATATCAGCAGCGTGACAATGTTTTGAACACTTGTGAGCCAGCTCCTAAAAACATAGAGAAACGATGTGGTCCGAAAGCCAACCCATAGTACAAGGACCACAATTAAAGCGCATAAATCAGCAATTAAAGAGTTACTAAGCACAAACATCCAACTACTGTTGTTACAGTATATCTACTCTTCCAATCTTTAGAAAGAACAATATACTGAATTAATATCCAAGAAATAACCTTTTAAAATTTGGCAAGGTAAAATAACTCATTTAAAGTCCTTTTTACATTAGCCTTTAAAATTAGCAAATTTGACTAAAGTCAATGAAGCATCCCACTTTAGCATCAGCTGGAGACAAAGTGGATAGATAATCCTGGAGTCACAACAAACATTACACTGGTTTTGTTCCAGTGGTCTTACGGGATCATAACGGCTAACAACACTAAGCTTCCTGTTAGTTAGGGCTAGCCGATGAACAAATGTTCCTTGAGAGAATTTCTCCCAGTTTTAGGACTAGGCATAAGCTATAGGAAGTGTACTCCAGGCAGTAAAATGAGGGGAGATATTTCTTTCTTTCTGAGTTGTTTTACCCTTTGAACTATCCTGAACAATTCCTTTCTGTACGCTGACTACTTGCAAAGTGGCTGTCACGTCATCCGTCAGAGCCTAAGTTGTACACGTTCCGCAAAACCCGTAAATCAAGTGTGGGGACAGTACAAAGCTCCGCTCCCCCCTCGCATCTCCTGCACCTGCTGCTTTCGAGTGGTGCTGCCAGTGATGGATGCAGACCTCGCTGCGCTAGACCCTGTGCAAACACAGAACAAAAAGTCTTCGCCCCCAAAGAGGTTGCAACTAAAATCTAAGACATAAAAGAGCAGCTGAATCCACAGAGGCGGGAAAGGCTGGTTTTGTTCTCTCTGGGCTTTCACACAGGCAAGAGGCAGGCAGGGCCAGCTGACTGTAGTTGAACTTTTTCAGGAATGAAAAATGGCCATAAATTTTGCACTCTCGTTTTAAAAAGCTAGGCTGTTTCAGTCCCAGGGCAGACCTTTGTTGCAATGCTGAAAAGCGCTGTAATTCTCCCACCTGTTGTTTTTCCTCATTGCTCGCTCGAGCTCCCTCTCCGCTCCACACATCCTGCTCGCACACGGAAGCTGCTGGGAGCATGGCTGGTGATTTAATTTTGCTTGCGGCCGTCTCTCTTCTTTCCGCCTTCCAGCAATGTAAGATCTGTGGGGTTGCGTGGCTGGGGCTTGGGGAGGTTTCCACTGGTGCTGAAGTACTGGAAATTATTTTATGATAAACTGGCTGCTCTGTAACTTTATTCTGAGAACTCCTAAGATTTTTCTTACCGGAGCGTTGTTTACCCTCCCTGTAGCCTGAGAGGGAGTTGGCTCAGTGGGACAGATTACTTTTCCCTGTGGGAGAAACTAATTTGTTTTCAATTCTATTTTGTTTGCTGACTTTTTGGAATCACGCTATTGTGAGAGCTGTAAAGTTACCCCAAAGCCACATCGTGGCTTGGTTTCGATTCTTATTTAGGCACCTATACAATTGAAAAACTCAAAAGTGAGAGTAAATTTGTGAAATCAAATACACCAATGCTGGACTGAAAGCGCTATAAAAACTGTTGCCTGAAATAGAGATATATACTAAGTATCTGAAATGAAAGAAGAAAGCAAACCTTTACACTAGGCAGCAATAAGATGAGATATTCCATATTATGTCCTCATCATTACCTTTCTTTAAGATCTAAATGGATTCATTTTACCCCCTGCTGATATGCCTCTGAGAATCAAGGACTAGGGACAGAACTGGGCAAGTCCGAGATGCTCTTTTTGCTGTGTATCAGTCTAAAACTACAGTAGCATTTTTAACACTTGTCATTATTTTCTTTGAGATATGTTGATTCATATAGTTGTGTTCACACCAGGAAGCAAGATACATTTTGAAGGCATTTGTGCTATACGAGTATGAGATTAAGAGCAAGTGAAAAAAAATCACTCTGCCTTTTTTCAAATATCTATAGCACTGCCAACTTACCTAGCCACCTATCTATGTGGCTTGCTTGTGTGTTTGTTTGTTCTCAAAGCCTCAACTACTGAAATAACATTTGTACCCGGCAGAAAAAAACCTTGAGAATGTGATCCTTCCAGGTTAAAAAAAGCCCAACACAACAGAAGGCAAATAAAAAGCACCTAAAATTTACATTCTCTTTTTCTGTCATCAGATCAGCTACAACATACCCTTGTGATCTTCACAGAACATTTCTAGCTGGTGGCAATATTTACCATCAACTTCTGTGAAAGTTCAACTTGCCTGCCTTGATTTTTAATGTAAAACTGTGAAGGACTAAAAACAAACAAACAAACGTTATCGGGAAAAGTACTGCAGTTTGAAAATGCAAAGAATTGTGCAGATACTGAAACTGCGCAGGGAGGGGGAAAATACCTATGTTCTTCCTTATTAGTTAATCTTAGTTAAAATCACGGAAAAGACAGGATAACCCGGGTTTTAATTTACACTGGCAGTCTGACATCAAGCCCAAAGAGAAACCTGTGTAAGAATCTGATCTGCTGATCTGATTTAAATCATCACAGCTTAGCTTACTTTCAGCATGCTTTCTAGCATGGGTAAACCAACACAGATTAATTTATGAGAGTTCCAATAGATGTTGTGAAACCGGCACCATAAGCGTGTGTTATAACCAGTTCGTGCGAGGGGAGTAGCCCAGCACGTGACCACTTGCTGTGGACAAAACACACGCAACATACACAGCACTGGGTGCTCTGTTTGCTCGTCTGGTTATTCTGCTGAGCCTCCGGTCCCAAGTTAGGAAGGTGCTAATGGGCAATGCCACCTGCCTGAAGCAGTGCTGGAAGTCAGGTTTCACTTAACAATCGTCAGAGGTACAAGATTTAGTGTCTCAGGACCATGAGTTATTCAAAGAATCAGGTCAGTCGAAGATTAAGCTGCGCAAGAAATGCTCTAGGGTAGAAAGAAAGAGCAGAAGCAATGCAGGAAGTGGTTTCCAGGCACGAATCCAGTTTTAAGCAGCTAAGATTTGCTTGAGAGATCAGTGTTTTGTAGACTGATGGGAAAACAAGGGAATCCAATGAAAGGACAGAGTGGATCCCAGTCATTGATATAGGAGAGAACAGGGAGGACAGGAGTCCCACTACTCCTCTATTTTGAAGCACCTCTGTGAACTAGCACCTTTTAAAATCACTCTTAGTAATTCCAGGACCCAGCAAGACATTATTAAAAAGTATTTGATTTTTTTTTTAAAGGTTGTTAGGCCAGGCCATGCAAATTTAACATGCACTATCATACACTGCAATACAGGTAGCAGCTTCTCTATAGGCTTTTTAACAGAGTAATGTTCCTTGAAAGCCTGCTTTGTCCCATATTCTCAGAGTAAAGATATTAACTCAGTAACCATAAATGCCACCTGAAGATGAAAGCAAAAAAAGGCAAACAAAGGCAAGTCAAGCATACTTTGTAACTACCTCAGTCATGTAATTTAGCTGCTAGAATTCAACAACTTGATACAGGGGGAAGAAAAGGCTACGAAAATCTTTACTTACTCCTGCTGCAATGCTTTCTGGAGTCCTCACGACAGCACCTCCAGTGGGTGGGGCAGAAGAGCTCTCCCATTGCTTTATTATTTACTTGAGCCCTTGTTAAACCATAATCACAAAACTTAAAGTTGGAGTTACAATCGCTACTTTCCATTCACCAGCAAGGAACTAAAAGGCAAGTCCTATGCAGTTAACAAAAAATACAGTAATTATTCCTCTCCTGAGCTCTTTTCGAGTCCCTGGCTGGCACCTGTCTTGTTCTGCACACCGGGCTCACCTTTTCTTTTAAGGTGACAGACGTGACTCCAGTTCTCCCACTGCGCAGTGCCACAGCTTGGTTTTCACTGGCATATAAAAACCCACTTGTCCCTAACTGAAGCAAAGTTCCCATCAATCACAGTGGAAGCCACTAAAGAAGTGGATTTTACCATGGTCGGCCATACTATCGTACTATCACAACCTGTTTCTGCGTACGGTTAACCAGTCTCCCATGTGCAAATCTCTGCCCCTCAAACCAGAGCCTTGCTGACCAAGCAATACCAAGGGCAAATCGCATTCCAGCTGAGGCCAGGGTTATACCATGGCCTTGACAATTTGCTTTGGGTAACTGTACTGAACAAACAAGAACGATTTGGCCCCTACAGTGCCTTAATCTTCTTATTTCCCCCAGTAAGTTTACTTTGTCCAGCATCCCTTCAAGGCTTTTTTTCAGCTCATTTGGACGCAATGAGCTGCCTTGGCTTGCCTTAGTTCCTCAGTAGAAAAAAACAGGTCCCAGACTGGTTCTAAGCAGTGAACAGGTCAGTGCGGCCAGAAAATGAGGAACGCCTTGCTGGCTAAAAACGCCATTGCACAAAAGACTATGGCTCACTTACCACTTTGACTGATAAGCCAGGCAGGATTTGCTAGCACGTAGCTTTTGTCATAAAAAAAGAGACCATTTTGAGGGCAACAGAAGTTAAACAGCAACTTTTCAGTTAAGTTTTCTGGGAAAATATTTCTCAGAGGTAATTCTTGTGCTTCCACAAGTTTCAGTCTCCTTGAAGCATGTTCCCTAAACCCTCCCTGCTACCATTCTTCCCTTCTGAAAGGGCTGCAAGGTGGCACATAATGGATGAATCACCAGGCACGACAAGAGATGTGTGGGTGAGAGTGGAGGAGGTCTTGCTGGATGCAAATACAATGAAAGGTCCTGTAAACCTGCCTTACGGAGAGGTAGCTGAGATGCTCTGACTAGTCTCTGGAGAGAAGGGTTAAGAGGTCACTTGAACACAGCCCGTAATTACTTATATGGGCAGAAGACAGACGGGAAAATGCCTTTTTGGGAAAAGGCTTTGGCCACAAGGCTAAGACATAAGAGGTGCACAGGGCAGCACCACTAATATGTCTAGCTGTATTTTAATGCCACTGCTCCCAGAAGGAAGGACAGAAGGTATGCTCTAGGCTTGCCCCTTAGACAAGTCTTTTTAGGGAACTCAGGTGGGTGCCTGGTTTCTGGATCCAGGCAAAGTTTAGGTACAAGGTAGATAGCGAGCTTCTCACACAGTGTGGCTACGACATAGGCAGAAAAATAACTCCAGGTGCCCAGAGAGTTTTAAAGTCAAACGGGGTGATGCCCAATAGCTCTGCTGCATACAGAAAATTGCTGTCTGTGTATTGCCTTTTGTCCTTGTGAGCCTCTGTTCAACTTTTAGGGAGAAACTTCTGTAAATGAGGCCATCAGTAAAATGAGGTATACATATACACGTCAGAAGTGATCCTAGAAATACAGGTCAGAAGTGCAGAGATAGTGTTTGATTGGTTTGGGTTTTTTTGGTAAGTAACTGATATTTAGTCACTGTACAGTAAGTAATCTTTTTCACGGCACTGCATCAGTTCTAAAAAATGCTTTTTACAAGACAGGTAAATACTATCAGCTCCAATCAGTGGAGGTGGAAACAGCATATGTCCTCCGACAGATAGCTCTCAGAGCTCTCCAGCAGATGAGGAGAGCAGGGAACAGGCTACAGCCTCTGCAGTTGCAGCTCTCTGCTCTTTCCAACACACTGAAGTTTGAGAGTCCGAGACAATAACAACAGGTAGAAAAGCATGCGCTATAAGATATGGGTAAATAACTTTAAAAAGGTGGCTACCAGATTTTTGTTTCCAAAGATGGTAGTGCTGCCCCATACTCCAGAGCATCATAGCTCTTAGCATCACTAAACCAAAATGACCATGTGCTACTCAAGCAAGTAGGGAACTGACCTCTATCAGGGCAATTTGGTTACTGAGAGACTGCTAAGGCAGCGCACGGCCGCTGTGGCGTGACTACGCCGCTCCTAGGCTGTGCAGTTCTAGGATTCAGATGAGGCAGAAGGATATTTAAGTCATAGCTAGTGTAGCAAATGCAAAAAGAGAATGCATATATTTCTGAAATAGCAATTTTTCCCCTTCCTCATGAGTAAGTCACTCCGGAAGATCTAAACTTTTGTAGGGAAAAACTAGTTTATCTAATATTGGTCTCTTGCTGTCAAATGAAACGGAAAGAGCTGACGAACAATGATCTCTATTTAAAAAATTACTGACGTGTTAGGGACGCAACTGAGCTGAGGAACTATGTGATTCGTGAGCCTTATTTTTGCTTACAGGTCATTTTGCTTCGCTGGTGGGGAAATCAAGACTGAAGCACAAGGTCATGCCCCCACTTGTCACTGGAGCTCCAGAATTTGACAGAACATTTCGTGCACAGTAAGTCCGGAGATCATTAAGATGGTGGCAATGAATAACAATTCAGTCCAGAAGAGAAGCAAAAACATTATCTTAAAAATTTACCTTTTCTTTGCATCCTTTGCTCAAAGAAAAAGAAAAATAACGAACAGATCGCTTTTCAAATGGTTCAGCTATTATTTTAATGATAACGGGGTACAGCTCATTTAAAACAGTCACTGTTCAAATTCTGATCAAACTAGGCAATCAGATTCCCCAAACCTAAAGCAGGGGCTGAGAGCTAATTGACTGTTACTTAGAGAATTCAGATGTTGTGGATCTAGCAAGCTGTGCTGTCTGTTCTTGGACTGTGGCTAACACCAAACATGTGGAAGACAAGAGCACAGAAAAGCTCTGTCTTCACAGTGGATAACGCTGGAATAGCCTGTCTAACAAGGCAGCGTTTTCCTAAAGGGCTTCAGTTTGTGATTAGCTAATGACCCTATGCAAAGTATTTATATTTATTTCAAACAATCCCATCTGCTGTAACTGTAGTTGTAGCGGATAACAATAATGAGACATAGAATGCATCAGACAACATATTAGCTAACTTAATTCGTTAAAAAGAAATTCATTCAGAACAACCAAGAAAAGATATCCAAACAAAATATTGGTAGGAAAACTGATGATGTCCACAAATAAAGATGTTATGGTCCTCACCATAAGAAGATCTATCGTGTGCTGTCTGTGCCTGACAGCACTTCATAAAGGCAGTTGGCCTCAGCAGGGCAATCCAAGCTGCCTACGCACAGCTCTATGCTTCCTCTTGCAGTCCCAGGAATGCTGACCCACAAAACTTGCATACCGAGTATGGAGATAAGTGATTAACATCACATCCACGTGCTGGAATTCCTGCCTCTCTCTGCTGCGCAGGCACTGATTTAGGATTATTTGTCCTATTTACTTCCACGTAGCTGGGATCCAGATCCTTGTCTAAGTTTAAATACCAGGCAAATATTTGAAATGGTTTGTATTTGAGATTACAAAGAAGAGAATTTTTAAGAGCGCCTAATGCTGGCTTGACTGTGCTCCCACTGGACTCAATAGCATTAACTTTAGTGGCAACTAAATGAGGCCAGAGCTGATTCTCCTTGAAAACCCCACCAATAGTTCTTTTCCTTTCCAGACTAATGTTCTTTCAAATTTATTCTGCAGACAAAACTGTGTGGAGTTTTACCCAATATTCCTGACTGCCCTCTGGACTGCAGGATGGTTTTTTAATCAAGGTAAACACTTTTCATTTTCATCTTGGGCTGAGAAGTTTTATGTAACTTTTTAAAACACTGGAGTTTTATCAGGAGGTAAATGACTGTAGACATCTTTTTCCCTTCTTTTAATTGCATTACCTTAGCATAGCCTTCCTAGAAGAATGCTCAGTGACACTGAAATCCCCACTTAGTCATGGCATTTCACATAGCCCCACCAGCTTTCACTTCTCTCTGCAAACCAAAGAGCCAGTGCATGGCACATTTACCATACATTTGGTGGATTTGCAGCATAAATCACGGAGAAAAGCAGCTCCCAGATGCTTCCCACTAACAATTATTTGCACATTACGGGACAGTTCTCACAGGACATCAAGCATGGCTCTCATCCCTGGGGAGGAGGCAGCCTGAAAAGACTCAGGTCAGAGCACTCATGTCTGTGGCTGGATGCCTCGCCTGGCTGATGGAGATGGAGCTCAAGCCAGCAAATCTTTGGGTTTTTACATCCCAGATGAGCGACACCACCACTGGGCTATGACTTGTTTGTTCTGGGGCATAGCACTGAGCACTGAAGCACAGTCATGACAGCAGCATCTCCAGCCATAGATATTGTACTTCAGGTATGCAGCGGGGACTCAGGAGAATCTGTTATGTTTTCTCAGCCACCTAGCGGGGGACATTTTTTGGCCAAATGTTCTGAACGCAGACACCGAAGAGCTTTCATACCTCTCAGTCTGTTGGACTTTCCAAGGTGGGTCTGTGGTGACTCCTAACAGTGCTGGGATGGACTCTCGTAGAGCTAGAACTTGTGATGGAGCCTCATTTTTGCGTTCTGCTTTATTAACCCTCCCCCAGGTGATGTTTTAGAGCATGGATTCTGTGGGCTGGAGGAAGGATAACTAGCTCACGCCCCCTATACCTCTCCTTCCTGAACAACTAGCTTTCTTCTCCTTTTTCTATGTTTGCTCCAAAACGGTAATTTTGTTTTGGCGCTCTCTTATAGCCAGAGTCCCATCTCCACTGCAAATCCAAGGTAAATCCAAAGTAGCACCACTTAAGTCAACAAATTGGATACGAGATAGTACATGTGCTCATAGACAGCCACTTGAATAGAGGAAAATCACAGTTGCTAACCAGCAACACATACATGTGCTGTCATATGTAAGAAAAGAAGGATTATGTTAACCTCCTCTTGAAGTAATTTTTTCAGCTGAGCATCTCCCATAGGTATGTTTACACGAGTTAATCCAGAACACAGTAGAAGCTGTCCTCTGTAATACTCACTCGCACGGTTTGAAGGAACACAAAATTATCCAGCTTAGTCCTGGATAATACGACTGACCTACACACCCTGCTCCATCTATCAAATGGAGGTGACTTTATACTCTTCCCACAGGGAGGTCAGAAAGCTAACTTCACTACAGCTTTCTCTCATGTCCTTGGATAAAAGCTGCTATATAAATGCAAAGCAGGTTATTAACAACATAAATAAGATTCCCTTTCCAAAACAAACACTCCCCTTTAGCATGAACTGCCATAACAATAGAAAATGACAGCGCTGGGTCAAGCCACGGTGCTCCAAGCCACTAAAAAAATGTGGAAAGACCACAAAATGGGGGGGGGGGGGGCTACAGGTTCCTGTCAGTTCTTGAGATCTCCTTTTCAGGGAATGCTTTTAGATTTTTTTGGACAGTCCTATGCCCACCCCTACCTGTAAACCCATATCAAGAGTCTCCCGTAGTGAATTTTTAAGGATACATATATCTCTTTTGAATCGGTCTTTCCCAAGATAACTTCCCAGGGTATGGGTAGTTATGAAAGTCCCCAGAGCTATACAACTGGAAAACTGTCCTGGTTTCAGCTGGGATAGAGTTAATTTTCTT